TCTATCCATATGTATAGATATCTGTCGTGACATATCAGATTATGTTCATTCATGACTGCCACCTTCATAAAAACTGAAATGCATTCAATCAAACTTGATTAAAACAATTTAACATTTGAATCCATGCAATTGTATTTCACTAAATTATCTGATGCATTAAATAGTTACTGTAAACAGTAGACTGTAGAACATGACTTTGAAAATTATCTGAGAAACAAACTTGACAAGCTCATTATTATGTATTTGTTCTATTCCGATAGTTTCTTATACCAGTTAACACACTGTTTTGTATCATCCAGTATAAACACAAGTTCCACAATTATATATTAGCATGCAGTCTCCAGTACAAATTACACTTATTACCATTAACCTCACACTGACTATAAATAACATGGCAAAATCAACATTTTCAAATACAAATCAGAATTAAATCAGTAAGTTTATTAATGGTAGTATATATAATCAAATTGTGGCAAATTATATTTATTAAAACTCAATTTAAAACTAAAATAAGCTGATGTACTTAGCAGTTTATACCTGCAATACACAGCAACTAATAATGGCAGTACAAGAGCTGAGACATTATCTATAACTAAATATTCACTTTACACTTAACCTAATACAAAACAACAAAACGTTTTATCTTAATGTAAAAAGCAAGGCTGGAAAGTATAAATCATGTCATGTCACAGATGAATCGTTTGCAGTACATTCAATTTCAATTTTAGTGGCACCGATAGATTGATGTGCTTTAGAGTTTGACAACTTTAGAGTTAGTTAATCACACCAAATTTCATCAGTCAGGAATTTAATTATGGAATAACTGCAGAATTATCACCTCTGATGATGTTTCTACGTAAATTGTGATGTCCAGCTTTGGCACCCAAAAGCGTTTGTATTTTATCCCTACCTCCTAATGAGATTCAGTGAAGTCTCTTAATTGTGTTAGTAGATCATATATCGGGTGTCCAGATGAAAGGTATCCAGAATAAAAAATTTGTATCTCAGAAACTAACTGTCATACACGTATCCGGTTTATGTCATCAGAAAGGAAAACCCTGTAAGTTATTTTTTTTTCCCCTGCCCGGCTTACGCGCATGTGCTGCCACGTTTCAGCCACCATGTTAGGAATCACCTGGACAGAGTGATAGATCGGCCGAAGTGGATCAATCACTTGGCCTCCTATGTCACCAGATTGAACTCCACTGAATTTTTTCTTGTGGGGTTATGTGAAGAACATTGTCTACCAGGTTACGATCAACGATCTGCAACATCTGAAAGCCAGCATAAGGGACGCTGTGGCTACGGTAACACCAAACACGCTGAATCCTCTGGATATCTGTCATGCCACCAAGGGAGCCCATGTTGAAATTTACTGAGAAAGTTATGTACTCAGAAAAAAATGTGAGAGTTTCCTTTTGTAGTGGAGTAACCCATAAATGTGTATAATAAAAGCTTTCTGAGATATAATTATTTTATTTTGGATACCTTTCATCCGGACACCCTGTATATATGTGTGTGTGGACAGTACGAATTTCACTGGCTTCAGTTTCTGGATCAGTTATTGTCAAATGAAATAATGTACAGTAACTCTCTTTGTGAATAATATGGTGAAACTTGGGGTTATCATCTGTCTGAGAAGGATCAGAAGAGGGGTGAAATGCTCTAATAAATTTTAATGTAGATCTTGTGTACCCCATTTCACCAAAATCGGACCTGTCAAAAGCTCAGTACTTAGAGCCAAATAATCTTAAGGTAAGAGTACTAACGTATATTCTGGGATGTGACACTATGTAGTCCATGCATTCTCAACCTTAGCATGCACTGGATGGATGTGAGTGGTCACTTTACCCCCTCAGGAAAAACTGACAGTATCCATTGCATAGGAGGCCATTCAGCACCAGAGCCAGTTAGGATGCTGAGTACAAGAGAAAAATCTTTGGGCCTGCTGGGAATTGAACCCCAATTATTCAGATGTCTGGCCCGTAATTTAGTCATTATACCAACTGGGCCAATCTTATTGTATGTACATGAAAACAATTTTCCATTAAAATTGTTCAGACCTAAGGCAGATAAAGTATGAATAAATCAGAAAATCATGCAGACAGCACAGATAAAAGAGAATACATACATTACATATTAAATCTTGATGATATTACCTTTAGAAAGAGATGACACAACGTTAAAAAAAATTCTCAGATATGTCTGTTGTGCTGAAACAGGAAGGACAAACCTGGCATAAAAGGCAGGTCTTATTTCCTGTAATAACAAACCTTGCTGACTCATGAGCTGTGTCTGAAATACTGCAAACGAAGTGGATGACTCAGTCATCCAAATGAATCTCCAAAGATAATATGCTATGTCCACATATGCATTACCATTTATATCACATTGTAAACTCTCTACTACAAGGGTTTTATGCGAATTAGAATTATTACACCTTCACCAACCACTTGTAAGTAGGGTTATGTAGCATAACCTGCTCAGGAACAAATATTTTATTTAAACTATATATATATGTTAAAAGTAAAAACTCTCTACAGCATAATATACAGGTTCGACAATTATAACATGTCCTAAAATCTTATGGCAGTGTACTTTTATTACCAGTCTTATCAGTATTGACAGTGTTGCCATTATCATTGTTGCAACATTTTATTTTGACTTCATCTATTTTCTGACAATGAATAAAATCAAAATATAGTGCCATAATAAAATGTCAGCAAATTAATCCATTTTATCTAACTGCCAAATATAAATAATTAAATTCAGAATTCATAAAAAACTTAATCTGGATTTTGATGTTGTAAACTGGCTATACCTCTCTACACTTAATTAAATAATGAGTAACAGATACCAATTCCAAAACAGTTAACAACTTGTTAAAGTTTGTGTCTTTACAATAAGAAAGAATATAACTTCGGGTTCCTTCCTTTCCGAGGTCCCTGCTTATGATGTCTCGCCTTCCTTCAAGTTGCTTGGTTTTTTTTCCCCCACAGGATTTATTCTCCAATCACTACAACTTCTCCCTCCTTAAGGCTGCTCGTCCTTAGTGGCTCCCTGATAAGGTGCAAGCCAATCCAGGAACACTGACATCTAAAGACAATTTCCAGCCCATGAGAGGTTTTCGTGCAGATATCAGAAAGCCTAAGACAATTTGAGACCTGAGGGAGAATATGAAAGACCTTGGCCTCAGCAGTACGGCCCAGATGATCGCGCTGACATCATTAGGCACCCAGAAAACCCTAGATTTGAAGCTGATTCTGATCAACCCAAGCCCCAAGAGACGGGACCGGGAGAAAGTCCTGAAGTCAAGAAACCAAAAGATAACCTTAGGCCAGAAGGAGAATTCAAAGTAATGCCTAGATCAAGGGATGACTACATTCCAGGAAAGGGGACCATGCCAACATTAGGAAACCCACTGATAACCTTCGCCCTAAAGGACAGCTCAAAGGAACTCCAAGATCAAGAGATGATTATCAACCTACTCTAAGTGATACCACTGTAACAACACCTAAAGATAACCTCAGACTGGAACTAAAGTTTGTGGTAACATCACAGAAAAGGGAAGATTTCAAACCATGTGGTGATCATGTGGGTACCAAGAAACGAAGAGACAACCTTCGACCTGAATGACAGTTTGAAGGAACACTGATACCCAGAGACAACTTCCAGCACACAAGAGGTTTTCATGCAGATATTAGAAAACCTAAGACAATTAAAAACTGAGGGAGAATTCGAAAGACTTCAGCCTCAGCAGTATGGCCCATATGATCAAGCTGATATTGTTAGGCACCCAAATAACCTTAGGTTGGGAGGTGATTCTGATCAACCCCAAACCCAAGAGATAGGTCAGGGAGAAAGACACTGAAAGCAGTAGAAGTCAGAGTAGTCCCAGTAGAGTGTCCAGTCCAAAGATGATAGTGTGGCAGCAATTTGCACTGATTTGATCAGTTGTATAAAGGTCCAATAAATTTGATCATCAAATCTAAAAATTAGTCACACAAAACCCCCGGTAAAAGTAAAGTAAAGCAAAGCTATCCCTGTACCAGACTGTGAAGGCCCATAGGGTTGTGAGACGTTGAGGGTCCCACATTATCTAGACAATCAGCTCAAAGATGATGGTAAGGTTGTCAGCCTTATGCGCCGGCCGCGCTTTACTGCCCAGGAAAATTATTTAATTCCTGGTACTCATTTCTGTTAGAGGCTGAGTCAACCCCAGGGCCATAGTGCAGCTGGAAGGATTAGACCAACTGACAAAAATCCAATGACCTCATCGGGATTTGAACCCGCGACCTTCCAGCTTGTAGCATAGCCCTCAACCAACCACGCTACCTCGTGCCCCCACAAAACCCCCAGTATGTGATAATACTCGTATATAAAATATCAAAGTGGATAATTTTCAGTCCAGTGTGAAATACAAGTTTACAACACTTCAGTCTTTATTCACCTTACATGTTTCGATTCAAAAGAATCATCCTCAGAGGCGCACCACTACGATCAAGACACACTGTCACATAAGATGTTTTAATAATGTGCACTTAAGCTATGAATAATGCTCACTATATAAATTTTGTTATTATCACAGTTAGTTTCGATGTTTGTCTTAGGCATTCATGATGATGCTTCTTGAAGTGTAGATTTACGTATGGTGCTGTTTCTTTTAGGCGTATTTACTGGGTGTTCTGATTGGGATTTTCCA